GTCCTGGAGGGAAAGCCCAAGTCTTGGCCATGCTGACTGCGCCTGCCTTGGCTCCCGTGGCTGGCCACATCCGCCTCTCGCACCCCGGGGAAGCCCTCCTGTCCTCAGGGCCCCCGTTTGCCGGCAAAGTTGCCGGTCTCAGCGGCTGCCACTTCTGACCGCGCCGGGCTCAGGGCCACTTGGGCCCGCACTCAGCCTCTCCCGGCAGCTCCTGCGGTCCCCGCGGAACTCAGGGAGTCTATGCGTGAAGAGTCTCCAGACCTTGGGCCGGCGCGCGCGACTTGGCTCTGCGTTCAGAATATCGGCGATGGTTGGGACCAAGCGGGCGCCACCGCTCAGGGAGAGCCCGGTTCTCCGCGACGAGGTCGCAAGCTTTGATTCCATTCCAGTTTGAGCAGCAAGAGGGGAATGGGGGGAGCCTTCGCTTTTCCCCGGCCTCTGCGCCTCTGGCAGCCCCGGAAGACGGCTTTCCCGGTGCCTTCCCAGGCCCTGCGAATCCCGCCAGAAACACCAACCGCGCAGAGAGGTCTTCCTCTCTGTATCTCCTTCAGTCCTTCCCCGACTTTGAGATCTTGCTTGTCCAATATTATAATTTAAAGACACCTATTATCTGCTTCGTACTTAAAAGAAAAATTCAACTCTTTTCCTTGCTATTCTCCCAGGAAGTTCGTTCTCGCCAAAGCCTAAAGCTGTGTCTACACAGGTGAAGCTGAGCAGAGAGCAGAAGCGAGGTGTCTTCGAAATCCCTTTGGAAACCCTGGGTCCCACTCCACTGGGGAGCATCCTTCCCCTTTTGTGTTGGGGTGCCTTTGAAGGAACATTTCCCCTTTTCCAGAGCTGGCTGGGTCCCGCCAACCAGGGCCAGCCGCCCCGTCAGCTTTCTACTCTGTCCCAGGCCCTGGGATATTTATTATCGCTAAAGGCGAGTTTAGGGTGGGAGAGAAGGGTCTGAGTCAGGGACTGGAGAAGTGGGGGTGGGGTGGGTGAGGGCACATCCTGTGGCAGGGGGTCCTGTAATTATGTGTAAATATCTGTACAGCCGGCTGCTATCTGCGTTCTCTGTCCACTGGGTGTGCATTGATTTAGACTTCTCCACTGTGGGGAGACTGTGAAATCCTCCGATGGTTTGTGTGGAAGAAAAGAAAAATCTGTCTCCCTCTCCTCCCCATTGGTGTCAATTGAATAAATGTATGTGAACTCCAGCAGTCACCAGCTCTGTCTGCTTGCCTGCACTCCCCTTTTTACATAGTCAGGGTTCTCCCAGAAGGCCCCCCCCCCCAGCTTCCAGGCGGGCAGAGGTGGACTGAGGAAGGGTCCTGGGCAGCCCAGGCAGGCAGAAGAGGGCTTGGGCTATTGGGTGTGGGGGAAACTATGGCCTTGGCCTTTGCTGTTAATGGGCCAGGACTCTGGGAGGCCTGTGACCCCTCCAGTGCTTTCATTTTCGCTCTGGTCCAGGAGGGTTTCTGCAGAGAGGTTTTGTTTCAAATGCACCTGGGGAATCTCATCTTCTCTGAGTTCAGACTTTGGCATGGGGCAGGTCCGAGTGCCCAGTACTTATGGACACTGTACTCATTAAGTACAGTTTCAGTGTCTGTGTCTCTTGATGCATTTTCTGCATGCTTCTATGTGTGGGGACTTTTAAGGAGCTTGTGATCTGTGTTTTGTTGTTCTTTTTAGGGGAGATGGGTTGTACTTCAGGATATCTGTGTTTTAATTTATATGTGTGACCATGAACGTGTCTGTGGTCTTCTGTCACTGTCTATTTCTATGTCCCTAGAAGGAGAGAGGTTTCTGATGCCACTGTAGCGCCTTCCTTGATCCACCCATGTAATAGAGTGAATGGCTTGAAAAGAGAAACTCCTCTCTTTCCCAGTCCGAGGGGATTAGAGGTGTGCTATGTGGTAGAGAGTCAGTGTGGTCATATTCTGTTAGGGAAAACCTCCTCAATCGTTGACCCATGACTGTAGCTGGAACCTATTGCTTGAGTGCAAAGCCACTGCGCGTAGGCTAGTGTCTTCCACAAGCCATCTGAGCCTCCAGTTCACTGCCTGCGCCTGGGATTCCCCGTGGCCAGACTGGCAAAGCATGTTGGGTTAGAGAAGATGCTTTTGTAGGTCTTTTCTCTTACATTCAACTAAGGTCAGAGGCGAGAAGGAGTGATGTGGAGGTGCAAAAGAGGAAGTTCAGCCTTCACAGAAAATAGACACATGCAGAGGGAGAGGGTTTGCAGACAAATGACAGAGAAGGAAGAAGACAGATGGAGAGAAGTTGAGGGGGCAGGCAGGGAGAAGCCATACAGGTCTCTTCAACCAGATTCCTGGGCATTGACAATAGTAGGAAAGAAGGAGGAGAAAGTGAACAGTGCCCTGTAGAAGGGGTCAGGGTGGGAAGACTGCGCAGGGCTGAGGGAGAGTGGTCAGACTGCTAAGTCTCAGCCGCTTCCCCAGTGGAGGAGAGAAAAGGTCCCAGGTACATCTGGTAAACGCAGCCCCTCTGCCAGAGCGGAGGTGCCCTCTCCTTCATCTTGTTGAGGGACTGAGAAGTGGAGGGAAAATGAGTGCATGCCGTGGGCCATCTCCCCATGGTTTTATCAAGCAGTCCAGGAGAAGTAAGGTTAAACTCAGTGGTCACAAGAGGGGCTGACTGTGGATACCTGGATACCCCTGGCTGGCTGCTTGGTTGATTTCCATTGCTGAGTTTGATTTCATTTCTTTCCACTTGAGGAAGGTTAAACATGACCGTGCGTTTGCCCACAATAAAGCACATTGTGGCTTACACGATCCCGTTTACCGTGAATAGGTCACTTCCAGATATTAGTTTGGAGCTTCAAGTAAAAGTTTAATCAATTGGTGTTTCCTCTCTAGAAGAGAGAAAATCAAGTCAGCCAGAATTCATATATGATGATGGATAGATGAGATACTTCCACAACTGCTATACCAAAAGAAGCAGCAAACCCTCCCAGTTTCCTCAATTTGTCTTTGTGAAAGTGTGTGTGAATTTATCTGACTGTATTGCTTGGTGTCAGAGGGTCCGTCCATATCAGGAAAAGGCAGAGATAAGAGGATTGGGGACGAGTGAGACACGCCCTTTCAGGGGCTTCGGTGGAGCTTGGGACCTCAGACCCATGACTCAACCCGAGTTTCCCAGAAGGCCAAGTACAGGCCAGATATAATGGCTGAGTACTGGGGTCCAGAAAGAAGCCACCTGTGTCCTACTGGCCTTGACAAACATCAGAAAAAGATTGCTGAGCGATCTTTGGGCTGAAGGCAGGAGAGGAGGGTGTTTTGAGTCTGGGACCGCTTTGGGTTGTGTGGGCCGGAAACTTGTTAATTAGAAGATGGCAAGGACCCACCAGGGACCTGGACTGTGAGGAGAAGCAAGGAGAAGAATGAGG